AACTCCTATTATCTGTTAATAAAGGAAAGTTTGATGATCAAAATGTTAGAACCACAATTGAACTGTACAACCCACTCTGTGCCGATGATTGCTTTTCTGAAGGAATACATAGAAGAAAAGAAAAGAGTAACGACAGTCGAAGATCAGATATATACGGACCATTACAACTACGCAACACAATTCTTCTCGTTTCAATATTTAGACTATTGCCCGTATTGATTACAACGCTGAAACGGATTCTTTCATAGGTTTTTCTACTTCTTTAAAAAATGGTGTACCGAAGCAGAATTTTTTCCGCACAGAAAGTTTTGATGAATTGAAACCTTGGCACGATACATTTGACAAATCAAAATATATCAATCTGAATGTGATACAACCAGTGGTTAGAACGATCAATCCATTGATTTTGTGTTCTTATGGAAGTCATAATAAAATGTCATCAATCGATATCTTGAAAAAGTGGTTATATATTTATGAACAATCCTTGAAAGAAGGTATTCGAATCATTGGTTTTAGTACCGATGCGGACCCGAAGTATCTTCGTGCCATGGGATTGTGCTCGCGATTTTTTGCTCATTGCCGCATATGAATCTATCCAAATACAATGATGATTTAAATATTGGTGTACCGGATCAATGGGAATGGTTCATGATGAAGGAGCAACAGGTTTTATTGTTTATGCAAGATCCAACACACGTTACCACAAAGATGAGAAACAGACTGTTATCAAAAGTAGCATCCATGAAAATGGGTATATATAAAGTCGATGTACAACGTATAATCGATTTAGTCGAGAAAAAAAGTAAGTTATATCACAACTTGATCAAATCTGATGTAAATCCGAAAGATCGTCAAAATTTCTCATCCTGCGTTCGAATATCTTCTGAACATGTACTGAATCTATTCATTCAAATTCTAGATGCAAAAGGAACATACATTTATTTATCAATGCTACGTTTATTCATTCATGGATATATGGACAAATCGATGCCAATTGAAGAACGATTAAAAAATGTCTGGACCGTCGTGTTCATTTGTAGATTATGGTTGTGTTGGATTGAACACTTTAAATCAAAAGCTAATGGTGGAAAGAAGGATTTTTCGTTTACAAAAACATTTAAAATGAATAGTTTCATATCAAAGCCAACATTTTAGTGCATTGAATTGAATGCTCATACATTGCTATACATCGTTTTGTTAGTAATTAGACAAAAATTACCCATAGATGCATTAAATATCGATTTATTCAGTTCTCAACCGTGTGAAAATATCTTCCATATCGCTCGTTCACTATCAGGCCCATATTCAACGATTACAGATTCCAGTGTTCAGTCTTTCCTTCATAGATATGAGAAAATCTCTATCATCAATGCAGCTAGACCAGAGGAGATTCTAAACGATGTTTCTCATTTGAAATTTCCTCAATATTACAAATCATATCGACAGATAAATGACTGTTCAAATAAGTCTTTTACACAATTGAACGTATCCAATTTAGATATTGTTAAAATCATTGGTAATGCATTCGAGTGCGCAAAGGAATATGTTTCATTGGTTAATATGAATGAATTTTTACTAGAAAAAGAATTATTTTCTTCATCTAGTTTAAGTAAATATATCAGATTTATTTTGACCAAATCATCTTCGAAAATAGTTGACTACACCAAAGACAATGACTCATCCGATTCCGATGAAGACGATGATGATAACGAAGAAAATGACTTGTCAGACGAAATGAACAACCGTGATACCTTTGACGAACAAGATCCGATGCGAGAGAAGATTATGATGATGAAGGAAATATTATAACAGGCTATCTGCCGGATGTTGAACGGTAAAGATTTCGTGGTTCACGAATCTATGATGTCGTTAATCCGAAACACGCTGATAATTACTTCCCTATTCGTATTGGTAGTTCAATCAAATTTATTCACAAACAAACAGCATGTTGGCTGTTGAGAAGTGACAAAGCTTCCTTATCGGCTGATCGTTTGTTACGTGTCCGGGAACAACAGTAATAACATTCAATAGTCCTATTGACTAGGCTTTCGTTTCGAACTCTCTAAATCTTCTCTTGATTATCATCCATGTTCTTTTTGTTAGCTCATGTTGTATACTGTCAGTCTAAATTGTGCACTGAACTGCATAATTGAAGAAAAATAAAATGAAGTTTTTCCAGCATCTTTTCATCAGCAAACCTAACACTGGCAGCAAAACAGTTGGTAGCATGGTACCGAACTGGTACCGGGGGTTCCGGAACCGTACTTTTCCCCTTGGATTACTACTTGGGTACTACTATCACCTAATCTAGCTTCGACTTCTGTCGCTGTCGCTACGAATTGGTCGTGCGTCTTTGTGTTGCTATTGATTTTGGAATAAGGATAGATCACTTGTTTGTTGAACAATTGACCTACAAGGAAAAATGAAAATAATGTCTAGGAAGTGCCTGACCACAATCAATCCATTAGATCTGATCGATCATGGTTCATTATCGTCTAGATGTTAGAAACGAAATGACGACGAGAAGTCGATACCGACACACAGTGGGCATTTTTTGCTAGAGCAGGCGGACTTTAGCTTTATGAGTGAACTAAAATTTCATGAACCACTTTTTACAAGTTTTTCATGATCCTCTTTCTAATGGCATGAGAGTTGGGCTTTGAAAAAGTTTTCTAAGGAGCTTTCCAGAGATCCGGTCTCTGGAAAACCCTTCAGAAAACTTTCTCAATATTTAAAAATGATGCCACTGGAAAGAGCATTGTCAAAAACCTATAAGAAACATGTTTCGAGTCGTTCAGGTTACTTTATCTTGAAATTCAAATTTTCAGCACGAAATTGTTTGTGTGAGTCTCAAAAACTAAGAAATTTCCAGAATTCAAAATCAAGCGACCGAAACTAGATGATTTATGTGTAGATGATTTATGTGTAGATGAATGATGTGCTGTCTAAGGTAGTTATTAATGCTACTGGAGGTAGTGTTATTTCCTTGCTAACGCCCACCTTCATGTTCTCCGCTTCAGCCAATTTGATCGGGTGACATTTAGTGGTTGTGTTTGTTGAAATTGCCCAGTGTTGATCCACGCGTTGGACGAATATCGGATCGATGTGTGGTTCTACTTGACATGACTCTAATGGTCCATCTGTTAAAATTTCAGAAAGGCATTTGTCGATTCCTTCCTTTCGAATCGCTAGTGTTTCTCGACATGTTGTCATAACTGCAAAATTGCATGATTCTGCTTCGGATTTTGACCATCGAATAAATTGTTGTCCTTTCGATTCGATTCCGATTGCATAAGGTACTTGTGCTAATCGCACCCTTTGTTTGCGATGATTGAACGGCACTGGTATCAATTCATAAAGGGAAAATGGAGCTTGTGTCTGACTGGGTGCGGCAAAGAATGAAGAGACTATCAATTGACCAATTAGATCTGATTCACCATTATTCTGTGTTTTGTTCATTGAAATAAAGTCGATTCTTTGTTTCACTAATAAGCGGGTGACTAGTTCGATTGAGGCGAATGATGCACTGTTGTCATCTAACGAAACGTTTGTTGCTTTCATTATCATTTTCGTAACTTGAGGTAAATCTTTATGGTGAATGAACTGTAAGTTAAGATTATTTTCCAAAATATTTTCAATGGATGTGTGGATGAAATGAGTTTCCACAGAATGGACAAATGCTGATAGTCGATTGCTGAGGAACATGGTCATTTGTGATAGCGTTCGTAGTGCTGTTTCGTGTGTTCGGAGTATTTCTGAGTGTTCATTGACCAAGTCGATCGTTTGGTTCAATGCTGCCTGTGTGTAATTCAGCTCGTATGCCAATTTTACTTGCCCCTCGTTTAAATGTAGAATTTGGGCGGTATGTGTGTCCATGGTTTGTTGAAATGTATTCAACGATTCGGTTACCCTATTCATTTCGCTTTTTATGTTAGCAATTTGAATCGTATTCAGCGTAGAGAGAGTGAGAGCCGCTGAACCAATGCCAACTGAGATAATGTCTCCTATAAGTCGTTTTCGACGGTAGTGAATAGCCGAATTCTTTAAAAATTGAACATAGAGTTTTTCTTCATTTAATTTAGCTGTCTGGTTTTGAATAGGATCTTTTGGAGTACATTGAGGAATTCTTCTCATTGAAGTGATCGGTATTAAGTAGCACATATTCGTAACCATCGGAATTGATACGGTGAATGTAACGATTCTGTCTGCAGGTTTGTATTCGGATAAGTAGTGAAGAATTAGATCCGATGTTTTGTGTACCATGTCCGTTTTCGGTAATGTGATACTGATCGTGTTCGGTATCTGATACCCAGTATTAGGATTGTCAGAAGTATATTGAAACAGTTCATCAGGTATGTCTTTTGACGTAGGGTTAATTCGAGAGCTGGTATGCTAGCGAGGCGTTGTCGTGTTGAGTATAATGTCTAGTTTCTTCTTTTTGCTCGGCAATAGACAATCATAGAATGTTGATCGAGTCGAAAAAATTACATAGGCTTTCCAGTTAATGCATACGACTTTTTAGCGGATCTCTGGAAAACCTTCCACGGAGCCGACGCTCAGATCACATTTTTCGACTCAATGTACATTCTATGATCTCTGCTCATCATTCCCTGAAAGTTTTAGTCCTCTTGGACAAAAGATGAGTGAAATACGCGATCTTTCATTTTCGACGGTAACTGGCGAAAAACCCACTTTTCACCAAATTGGCTTTAATGGAGTTGTGATTGGGCGGGGAATGAAACAAACATCGCCACGACGATCAGCGTGGCCGATTACCTATGATCCACATGTTTCCAAGATTCTCAGACGTGTCTGCAACGAGATAGGTGTGTCTTCGGAAAAGTCTGTATCTCCGAAACCACAGGCGATGAAGGCCTGGATCTTGCATGGTTTTGAAGAGAAATGTTTTGGCTATCGTTTGGTATTATTTGAGATTGGATGTCATAGTGTAGTTTGGAACAGTAAGCTTTCGGATTTTGCCTCGAATGGTACATCATGGTAACGCTGATCAGGAGCCCTAATTTTTTCGTAGATTTATGTCTCAAAGTGTCTACTTTCAGAATCCGAAAATCGCAGATTGTTATCTCTCACCGTTAAAAAGTTATTGCAAAAACAACCGACCCCATTACTCACTGAAAACGATAGTAATAACAAAAAATAGTAGTCAACTAATGGTGGAAATTTCACAATAACCCAGGTCGTTCATTCCTGAAGATACGAAAAAATTCTAGCTGTCAGTCAGAAAAATGTGGAAGAGATTCAGAGATGGCTGCCGAAGAAATTAGACTAAAGTGATTATGTTAGCGCTTTAATACTCGTTGGTTTATATACATGGGTTAGAAGATGGAGAAACTTGCAGAAGATTAGATCAGAAACACAGGAGATATTTTGAGTATTCAGTTGAAAATATTCGTAAGTCTGGGATATTTGTACTTCATTACTTAAAACATTTCTCTAAGGATACATTGGTACTAAGTCATCCTAGAATGGACGCTGTATAACTTCATAAAGCTTCCTTTCATCGTTAGCTGAATGAACGGTCGTGATACATGTGTTTTTCTTGATTAAAGTTATGGAAACTGTGAGGAAGAAGTGAATGCACATTTCGTCTGCCCACCACTAGGCGGTAAATGTTTCGAGAAATATCATGGTACAAAGAAAATAAAACTTCAAATTTTTTTAAAACTTTTCTAAAATTCGTAATGTCTGAAAATTGTTCTTTTTATGTCAACAAATACAGAATTTCAAATTCTACATGATGCCATTTTTTCACCGATGGGGTTGATTTATTCCTCGTTACTGGCTGCTCTCTAAAAAAACAGCTCTCTAAAAAAAGGCTGGAAACGATATACACATTGGTTAATAACGGATATAATAAGAAACAAACAATATGTGGTCAATGGCTTCCAACCATACAAAGATGGGTGAAAAAAGGATCCGGACGTCGATTCGTGAGAGCCGAAAAACCGCCTGACATCAACAGAACTCATAACTTAAGACCAAGAGAGAAAGGAAAAGTAGTGAAAAACTAGTGGTTCTTATCAATATCCTAACTTACGTTTTCAGATGTTGTAAATTTTAGCTTTATATTTTCTTATCGTTCAATTGTGTTTTCTTAATTACTTATCCACTGCAGAAGGTGTATAAAACACCGAAACGTTTGTCTTGAATAAATAAACTACGAGATAAAGTATTAAAAATGACTTCAAATTCTCCAATAATCACTAATGAAAACACACTTTTTACGTTTAACTGTTGGATAAAGAAGATTCTGATTCGTTTTCGCTCTGATCTTGTTAAAACAGGTTTTTGAAGCCAGAATCCCATTTTTCCTAAAATCGACATCAAACTCGTAATCAGTGTGGAAAACTCCGTCTGATGATGTGTCGAAGTCCATCCAACTCGAAAAATTTTCTCAAAACCTTCGTCGGCGAAGTGCCGCGTTACCTGCACAAGTCGAATAATGAATGGTTCAGATTATATCACGGGCATTTTCAACATTTTTGTGAAAGTACACTTGATCAGAATACTTCATTTTTGTACTGAAAGATAGAGAAAATTTTGTGTAGATTTTATTTGTCATTTTTCCACAGCATTAAGAGTACCCGAAGCCACAAAAACGTCTGCTGCACAGCTGAAAAATCTAAAACTTTTGAAAATAAACTTTCGTCGAGTTAGCACTACTTTAGCGAGTTCCTTCTAGTAATAAAAGAGAGAGAATATTTCGTAATATCTAATTGTATGCTTGTTCCGAAAAGCCTAGTTTTTGCTTTTCATTATTTAAAATATGAACAAATCACCAGTGGACAGTTACATAGCATTTTTTCTTCAGAACTTTTCTAAAATTCTCAATGTCTGAAAATTGTTCTTTTTATGTCAACAAATACAGAATTTCAAATTCTACAAGATGCCATTTTCTCACCGATGGATTTGATTTATTCACAGATGACGAAGCTGAGACATTCTTCTCGCTCTAAGTCGTTTTTTATAACTAGGTTTTTTTCCTGCTCTTTATAATGTCGATGTCATGTTTGATTTTATTCTTTCCCATTAGATATGTGATAAGCATTCGACTGCCAGCAGGTCACTGCGAGTTTTGGAATATTAGAGTAAAAAAAGTATGACTTAAGCTAAGAATAATACATTGGCCTGAAAGATCTACTTAAACTATCTTCTCGATGAAAAGTTCGAGTGAAACATGATGTAATTAAGTCTGGTAAAAAGAGAAAGTTAGGTTAATACATGATCATATTTGTGAGGGTTCGGTCTCCTTGTATTGCGAGACACAGCGTTTTCGGTCGATTGTTTTCGAAATCACTGCTATACTCAATCGCGTTATAACTGAATGAAATATTGATATCTAAACGACGAAAGAAGCTTGGAAATTATGTGTAAGTATTCTCGTAACACGCTACGGCTTGTTCTAGGAATTGATTGCACTTCTAACTCATACACATGATAAAAAAGCTTTCTTACCGGGAGCTGGTGATATTTGCTGTGCACAGACTTTGAGAAACCAGAAGTAGGGTCTAAAGTTACTTCATCCTGTTCTCAAACAAACTCGCCTAAAGCATAGAGGAAGCAAGACGCTTCGACTGAATTTGCTTAGAGTAATAAAAAGCAAATCCAAAGCGACATCTGAGCGAATCTAACTGGATACTGTAGTCAGCAATCGTTTGAAACGAATCAGATATGGTCTGGGAAATACTTTTGCAGTTTGAAGCTGATATTTGAAGCCAAGAGGAAACAACGAGCTTTTGACGGAGAACATCATAAAAGAACGTTCAAGCTTCTCTAAGGCAAGGTGTTTGAGTTCTGCATTCATTTTTGAGAAATAGAGGATTTTTAAGAACTCAAAAATTTCGAATTTTTGACCTTAAAAACTTGACTTAAAAACCTGACTTAAAAACTTGACTTGAGACCTTGTAACACACATATTCAAATTCAGCTCGAGAAGCTGCGTCGAACCATGTATAAATATCGACAAAAATTTTTTCGAAGTTTTGAATTGCAGGCATCTTAAAATAATTTAATTCTCTCTTATCGTTCTGATCATGATGATTTTATAATTTCATTATTAGTCTTGAAATTTGTATTAAACAAGCTGCAACTAGTGAAATTTATTTTTTGAAAATTTCAGGCCAATGTATTATTCTTAGCTTAAGTCGTACTTTTTTTACTCTAATATTCCAAAATTCGCAGTGACCTGCTGGCAGTCGAATGCATCTAGTTCTATCAGAAACAATTGACAAAATGAGAAGGTTATACTGGAGATAGCTAGTAAATAGAGCTACGTGATTCTGAGAGAATAAAATGATTGTCTCAATTAAGCTAGGTGATTAGCGCATTCAAGGATTAAACGCTTAAAAAATTCATATCTTAAGAATGTTCCGAATTAGCAAGATGGAAGACGCTTAGACGATTAGGATTAAGTTCGGGCTGTGTCCACACACGTATCAAGCTAGTAGTGAACTGACTCCATGGACTGTTCGTAGCTCTCCATTTCTGTTTGTTGTGTGCCGGCTCTGTACATTAGCAGCATATGCGGTAGATAATAGAATAAAAATTATCAAGTTATCTGGATACACCTAATGAAGTGCATAAATGTTAGTAACGAAGAATGTGAATCTGAGCGATCCACTTGTTTATCAGCTGTACGCTTTCCAACGATAGTAACTCTAGAGATCAAATCTTATATAAGATTCCTATAGGAATCTTATAGAATATCTGCAAGAATCTTATACAAATCTTATGAATTTCTTAATAAGACAATCGATGGAAATGCGTAATTTATTGATAAGAATCTTATATAAGAAACTGATAAGGTTTCTATAAGATTCTTATCAGATTCAAGATTCAAAATAATTATATAACCTATCTTGCCGAATTCTTATCGGAATCTTATAAGATTCTTATATTCCTTCGTATAAGAATCTTATTAATAAATTACGCATTTCCATCGACTGCCTTATATAAGATTTCTACAGAACTGCCGTAAGATCGGTCGACTAGGGAAGTTTTTCTTCTTTTTCTTACGCAAAAACGTTGCATAAAAAAAGCTTCGTTTTTCTAAGAATGTAAAAGAAAAACATTATCAGACACTCGAGAATAATGTACTCTACTTTGTCTGCCGTTTTGGTTTTTTCTTTTCAAATATTTTCCAGCTGTTGATAGATGGATTGCTGAGTAATACCTCAGTGAACTTCCAAAGAAAACTGCGATTAAAGCCGTTCAGTTTGACTTTTAGTGCATGTTCCGCTTTGACAGATTCAGAGAATTTGCACTATGACATGTGATTAGGCTCGTTTATTCTTGGACACACGATATTTTTTAATAGTACTGATCTGGGCTTTAATGATTATAGCTGCTTAGTATTTAAAGCCAATATTTTGAATCAGCATGGTGACACATTCTTTGAGACTAAAGCAATGCGTCGTCGTATAACCCTTCAGAAAAAGTATATGATCTACATCGTCGCGCTGCTCCATATACTGTCGAATGTCAATACGTCATCTCTGGCACCTCAAAGCTAATTACGCAAGGACGATTCGAACAAATAACAGATCACCAACTTTTATTTGAGTGTTAAATTCAATATATACGAAGCTACTACTATTATATAATTTTTTAAATTGACACTGAAGCGAATCAATGTAGTAAATCAAGAAAGTAATCAAATATATTTAATTAATGCATGAATATGAAAACAGTAACAAAAATAAATTCATAGATACCACCATCACGAAACGATAATAATGATACAATGACAACAAGATAGCATGAGAAGTCAATCGCATCGGACAGATTTTTAAATTTTCAGTAAGTAGCAGTAAGTAATACAATACAGAACATGACCAAGTAAATAATTAACACAAAAAACGATAGCGAGCGATATTTAAATTATTTCTTATTAATTATAAAAAACAAAAATTTAAAGTAACATATTAAACAGCTCAGTCTGCTACATTGCTTGCATCATTCGTAGCATTAATGGTTCCTTCAATATTCGCAATATTGTTTGCACCGCTCACCTCTCCGAGTATTGTTCCATCATCAGTCGCAACGTTGCTTGCATTATTCGGAGCATTAATGGTTCCTTCAATATTCGCAATATTGTTATTGCAATATTGTTCGCTCATCGCTCCGAACATTTCTTCGGACACTGTTTCGACGATTGTTCCAAATTCATTGTATCGTCCTCTATATGTAGCTGGAATTAGCCAAGAATCAGTCATGGTAATATTTAAGAAACACTTAGTTAGTTTCTTACCTAATCCAGTAGTGCTATTATTTGGAGTTGTATTTCCAGGATCTGATCCAACATAATTCCCTCTACCTGGATGAGGAAAGAAAGAAACATAAGAAATCTATGTGCACAAACTGACGAAGTTTTATATCATCGAATTTCTTCATAGTATGACACAGAAGGCGCACATAATAAAAAGGTGTAAATATTCCTTTCAACGTCAAGACTTCCGAAGGAAAACAAAAATGCTTAATATGCATTAAAAATGCGCCGAAATTCTTAACTTAATTAATTAAAAAAGTGTCGAAACTCTTTCTTGAATATTTCGGCAACGAAAAGACCGCATCCAAACACTGCGTTTTTTAGTGTTTGGAAGTGAAATCCAGGGGACGCGAATCTATGAAAGCAAGTTGAAAATGTCACCCGAAGGTGGTGTATCTTATCAATCTTTCAAGAGTAAGTCCACGAAGGTTAGAAGTTCCAGTGGATTTTTACTTCTTTTACCATGGCTATACAGACCGAAGACTGCTCTATGGAGCTACTCGAGCCTGAGACGGTAACTATCAGCATTCAGTCGTGGAAGCAGTTTTCAAGGAACGTACATATTTTCTCATTATCAACTTGGAGAACCTTTTTGCCTATTGTCGAGTAAATTAGGAAATCCATAACTCAGTCGAAATCAATCCACACTACCTGAGAATATCAAGATATACTCTATTTTATCTGCTGAACATGGTTTTCTACTTACTTCAAAATTCGAAATATTTTCTGTTGATTTTTAAGACTTTTTTGAACTGCATAATATACTGCAGATAAAACAGACTACTGGCTGATATGTATATTCATAATACAGTGTAGATCTATATAGTGCATCACCTTCAAGTAGCATTTTCAATTTGTCTTTTCCAAAGATTGATGTCCCCTGGATTTTACTTCTAACCACTGAAAAATGTGTTTGGATGCCGTCTTTTCGATCCCGAAATATTGAAGAAAGAATTCTCTGCACTATATTTCTTAATGGATAATAGTTCTTGCGAAAAGCTTTGTGAATCTAATCGGCCTGTCCGGCTGACAGTATCCTCTTTTTGCTCTTTTCAAAAAACATTTTTACAATAAAACTATCAACTAGCGCAAAATTTCGAATGGGTAATTAGACAGATTAATGATTTATCTACAAGATAAGAAGTGTCTCGGCTCTGAAGGTTGATTTGTTGTGAAAGTACAGTTGTTGTACCAACAGCCCAAAAAATCAATTTTGAGTCTATCTGAAAAACGTTTAAGAGAGTGAAGACAACTAGGTGAAAACCAACAAGTATGCCAATTTGTGGAAAATTATTTGCTCTACAAGATATGATGGTTTTTGAAGTTTGAAACCAGCTCATTTCATCTATGTTATTTAAAGAAAAACCAAGAAAACCGTAACGCGATGACATTTTTAATCGTTTTCTGTCATCGCAAATAATTTTCGACAAATTGGCATACTTGTTGGATTTTCACCTAATTGTCTTCACTCTCTTAAACGTTTTTCAGATAGACTCAAAATTGATTTTTTGGGCTGTTGGTACAACAACTGCAGTTTCACAACAAATCAACTTCCAGAGCCGAGACACTTCTTATCTTGTAGATAAATCATTAATCTGTCTAATTACTCATTCGAAATTTTGCGCTAGTTGATAGTTTTATTGTAAAAATGTTTTTTGAAAAGGGAAAAAAGAGGGTGCCGTTAGGCGGATAGGCCGTAGTACAACTTGACTAACATTTTTTTTTTTTGTAGTGTTTGATCTTAGAAAAACCTTTTTGGTCAAACCAGTAAAAAAAGGATATACCCTGCGGTCAAAAAGTGTAAAATCCAGGGGACATCA